GTATATTGATCTTTTAACCATACTCTTGTTGTTTTAATAATTACAGAAATTTTCCATCATATTTGTTGTGGGGGGCCTGAGGCTGGATCATTTTAAGGGAACTGTTTGGACTTCTGAGTAACCATTAACGTAATAAAGAAGCTGTCTATGCTGGTTTGGTGAATCTAAGTATTGGAATATCCACTAGCTTTTTGGGGATTGTCTGCCCCATTCTTTGCAATTCACCATAATTGAGTGACCACAGCTGGCTCCCCACTAGGACCCCGGTAACAGTGGTATAGTTGTGCTTAGATACACACTACCTCCCACAGGTTAACTGGGCTTTTGGATCAGAACCACACACTTGTCAAAATTTAATTTTGATATTGAAGAGTTTAATGGTTAAAAATCAGTGAGTGACCCATGATCAAGATCCTGACAGGAAAAAGCCTCAAAACTGTGTTTACAGAGAGGGTTGTATTTTAAACAAAAGGCCCCAGAGCAGGAACTGAAAAATCTGTTAATTGCCAGTGATAAGGAAGCAGACCCAGTGAAAATGCTTGTGGTGAGAAACCAGCAGCTAGAACTTGAACAAAAGCACACCCAAAAAAAAAAAGGCTGATATGGAAGGAGAAGCTGCTGAAAGAGAACGCTCGTGTTTTGAACATGAACAAAAAAATAGCATATTATTGATTGCAGGAACTAGAAGCTAAGGCAAAAGTGGACAGACTTAAGCTCCAGTTCAAGAGAATAAAGGAACAGGAACTGTATCATACTGAAGAACCAGTTCCTCTCAACAACCAATATGGGGATAGAATCTATCCAGTTTGTGACAATATTGGTATGTTGTGTGTGTGTGTGTGTGTGTGTGTGTGTGTGTGACCAAATTTACCCCAACACTACCCCTTTTATGTAAATACTTTTACTGTGAGCCCAGATGAAGGTAACCCCATAACTTGTGCAAAAAAGTAAGTCAATGGTAAAAGCTGTTTAGGGCAAATAACAAGAGTGCTGTTAGAAGTTGTAAAAACAGATTTTGTCAGAGGAAGACTATTTACCAAATCAGAGTGTGAATATTGTAATCCTCTGGGTTTACTGTAAGTGTGCCTTTTGAATGGGATGGTGTTAAACAGTAGGCGATAGCTTCCTTACACCAGCTATAACTTAAGGATCATTTGATTGGGGATGATATTAAAACTTTGTTCAGTCAAGTTGACGACCTAAACCAGTCACAGGAAAGAAATATTCCTGAACCTGTGTCTATTAAGGGCAAGGATTTGCCTAGGGAGGGTTTCTCCAAATGTTTGTCCGAGGAAGATGGCTGTTTGTCTGTGCAAAGAAGCAGTGTATATGTGGAAAAAATTCCTACGTGTCTGTCTGGTATCTCAGAAGTGAATCTGGCATTAGATAAGGAAACGTTTCTCTAAAGCAGATTAAAGTTGGTGATCAGGTTAAAGCCCTAACTGAGGAAGGAAAGGGTACAGTCTTGGTAAGTGATGGATTGTTGACAAGGTTAGTGGAACACAGGTACCCCTATACCTTACGTGTTACCAGTGTGGAGAATTGTGACAGTGAAGGTGTCAAGGCTGTATCCCCACTTTGAACTTTAGGGTACAAATGTAGGGGCCTGCATGAAAACTTCTAAGCTTATCTACCAGCTTAGCTTTGGTCCGCTGCCACCATCTCAAGAATTCCCTCCCTGGGAAGCCTTGAGAAACCTTTCACCAATTCCCTGGTGAACACCGATCCAAACCCCCTTGGATCTTATAACAAGGAGAAATTAACCATCCCCCCTCCTTCCTCCCACCCTCCTTTCACCAACTCCTGGTGAATACAGATCCAAACCCCCTTGGATCTTATAACAAGGAGAAATCAATCTCCTTCTTAAAAAAAAGAAGGCTTTTAATTAAAGAAAAAGGTAAAAATCATCTCTGTAAAATCAGTATGGAAAATAACTTTACAGGGTAATCAAACTTAAAGAGCTCAGAGGACCCTCCTCTGTCTTAGGTTCAAAGTACAGCAAACAAAGATACACACTCTGGTAAAAAGGTACATTTACAAGTTGAGAAAACAAAGTAAATCTAAGACGCCTTGCCTGTCTTTTACTTACTAGTTTGAAATAGGAGAGACTTGTTTAGAAAGATGGGGAGAACCTGGATTGATGTCTGGTCCCTCTCAGTCCCAAGAGCGAACCACTCGTTAAAACAAAGAGCACACACAAAAGCCTTTCCCCCCCCAAGATTTGAAAGTATCTTGTCTCCTTATTGGT